AGGAGGTGAAGGGAGACTACCGGAAGAGAACTAGGCATCCTGATGGAGACCCGCCAGCCTGAAAAGGGCCCAGGGTCGCTCTCTGGCGTCAATAGTCAGGTAGGAGAACCAGACCAGTCACCCTGAGCCTGGGAGAGGGCAGCTTCTGGAACAAGAATGAAAACCTCCACCTAGGACAGGAGTGATGAGAGCATGAGCAACATGGCCATTGGCCACCCCATCCGCCAATCAGAATCAACCAATGGGATGCAAGACGAGGTGGGACCTCTTTTCTGTCGAATTTGTCAATGTTGCGCTTGCCAGACAGGCGCTTATGCCCCTGAGCTACATCTCCGGCCCCCGTTGCAGCATCGCCAGTGACAGAGAAGTGAAGCAACCTATAAATGCCAACAAGCAGCAGCTGCTTAAATGGAACACTGCACACAATAAGCTGATCTATAATGGTTAAAATCCACCCGCTTGCTCTGGGGAGGCGGGGGTGCTTCCTGTGCAGAAAATGCTGAGTTCTTCAAAACGTACGATGCAAAGCTATATCCGGTGGGATCATAGTTATAAAATGTATACAGTAATTGCTATGAAAATGTATAGATTAATTGACAGTCATAGATGTTAGACGTTCAGTTCAGATATAGGCATTGCCTGCCATTTTATGTGCTCACACAATAAAAAATGTGTGGAAAATGTTGAGTATTAACAGTGCCATCTTTATTTTAATTTCTTGTAATTTTGACTGTATTTCTAAAGTGTTTTGTCTCAGAGTGCATGAATTACAATTGTACTGTAATCAGAAAAACAAAACAAAGCTAAAACAAGATGAAAAACAAACAATGTATATCTCCAACTTTTCTCTGAGCTGTTTTTATGAATATGTCCCCAACTAATGAAGCAAATTTGTTCATTTCCTTGGCAGTTATAATAGAAAAATAGAAAGGGTGAGAGAGGAGGAGGAGGAGGAAGAGGAGAGAGATAGAGGGAAGGAGGGAGCTCAGCAGCTGGATCTTTGGACAGGTGTACAACGTTGGTAGTCCACATCCCACAGGAGCTGCATGACAGACCGACATTGTTGTGGAAGCAATGAGTAAATATTCACGGGTCAGTTAGGACTATGCAAGCCCTGAGTGAGGGAAGCATCTACAACCACTAATTGAGACCCCCCTGTGTCACAGTTCTAGAGACTAGAGATCTAGATTCAAGGAATCAGTAGGACTGTGCTCCTCTGAAGTCTCTAAGAAAGAATCTCCCTTGTTTCTCTAGCTTCTAGGGGTTGCTGGCATTCCTTGGCTGGTGTTAGCAGACACCAGTCCCTGCCTCTCTTGTCACACAGCTACCCTCCGTCCATGTGTCTCTGTGCAAATTCCTTCCTGGGATAAAGACACTACTCATTGTGTTTGGGGACACTCTTGAATCCAGTTTAACTTCATATTAACTTGACAACATCTGTAAAGACGTGACTTCCAAACAAGTCACATTCCTAGGAACTGGGATCTCTTGGGTGGATGATTCATCTCACATTAGCTGGTGTTGCAATCAGGATCACTGGGCTCCCTGATGTTTCCTACCTCCAGTCCGTACCTCCCTCCTGAGCTGTTGGATGCCTGCAGAGTAATGGTCTCCATGGGGACATCCTGGGGCTCTGAAGCACAAAACATGAGCCTCTGACCTCACTGTTTCCATCTCCACCCTGCCCTAGTACCTTGACTCAATGTTGTATAAATATTTTCACAGTAGCTGTGTTCATGATCACCCCAAACAAAACAAAACAAATACTCATAAACAGAAAAACAGAAGTGAATGAACTGTGGTAACCTGAACTGGAATCTTACTCAGCAACAAAAAAGAACAGAATGCAGAAGCACACACAACATGGGGGATTCTCAAAACACACAATGCTGAGTGGAGGAAAACCAAACACAAGAGTGTTCACTGTATGACACGAAATATACAAAGCTCAAGCATATAGGAGGTAATCTCTCTGGCTAGAAATCAGAAAAGGGTGTTTCTTACATTGGAGATTCACTGGAAATGGGCACCAGGACCTTCTGGGAGTGAGAAAAATATCTGTGTTCTCAATGAGGGTGTTGGTTACACAGGCATTCACATTTGGCAAAATTGATTGAACTGCATGCACTCTTAAGGTCTGTGCTTTTCCTTGTAGGTAAATTTTGCCTCAACTGAAAAAAAAAAGGCTATTTTTAAATTTGAGGGGCAAACAAATTAACAAACAATCTTTAGTTTAATAAACTACTTTTGGGCCAGGGATATAGCTCAGCGGGACAAGTACCTGCCTGTCAAGTGCAAGGTCCTGAATTCAATTCCTGTTACCAAAAAATTAAATTAAATTAAA